TATATATTATTTAATTCACACCTTTCTCTATGTGGTAAAGTTATTAATATCTAAATGTTTTTTATAACATTACATGATAACCTAAGCAAGTAATATTTATTAGAATAGAGATGCTATGAAGGAAAATGTGTATGTAGGAACTTTCCCAAAAATAGTTTAAAAATTATCTCTTTCCATTTAAAAAATAAGCCACCTTGAATATACAAAATTTTGCAATTCGAGTTTTCATAAAATTGCCTGATTTGGAAAACTGTCCTAATATTAAATCTATCAACAAGCCTTTTTAACTTTTCAGATAAACTTTGAATGAGAACAATATATTTTTACTATATTTGTAATAATCTGTTGCTGTCATTAAATTATTTTTATTTTCAATGTTTTCAAAACTTCTATCAACAAATCTATGATTAATTGTCTAATAGCATATCTTTTACGTATCTATTTTGTTTCCAAAAATGTAATCTTTCGAATAAAATATTACTTTATTACAGGAATTTGATTACATCTCTCCTTATGAGAGGATTTCATTACTCTTTAAATTTTAATAGTTGTCTGTGGAATATTCTAAATGGCGAAGTAAATAATAACATTATACATATAATATTTTTATGAAAACTAGATACACAAGACAGCAAAATATCACATGTATGTGTCAATTTGAGTTTTGAAAACAAAAACAAATAATTTTTGAAACGTTTATAGTGTTTGTGTTGTAGTGTTAATGTGCAGTCAAGATGAAGTAGCTACTTTCTCAGTATGAGATGTTTCTGATTATGCAAAATTAAGTTCGACCCCTTTACTGATCCTTTAGTTATTTATTTGAATAGTTAAAGTTAAAGCCTCCCAATTAGTATTTGGAACTAAAATTTGCTGTCCATATTAATTTTCCGCGTATAAAATTTTTTTGGCCAAATATACAGAAAAAACAAGTTACCTTTGAAAACAAACTGTCCATTGTCATATCTATAGCCCAAGTTATCCTTGATGATCAGCACCCAGAAATATATCACATCCCCTAGCTCCAATTTGGCGTTCTTGTTTTCGTACACCCATCTGTCATTGTTCCTACTCACTACATCTCTAGAAAACTGACCAGCCGTCAAGCCAACCATGGGTCGATTGACGTTTCCATGGAACGAGAACAGTTGTATTCCATCTTCGTGAGGTATGCTCACCGAAAAACCACCAGATGAGTACACCTCGAACTTTGGTTCCGGAACTACGTACTCCTGGGGCACATACAAGGCCAACAACAAGTCGGACTGGATCACAGCGAAGAAAAAATATGCGATGGGCTTCATTCTGAACGACCACTTTCACTCCACTGCAGCAACAGGATTGGATGGATATAATATATGCGAGTGCACTACTAGATAATTCTTTTTATATCTGCAAATAAAAGTTAGGGTTTTCCGAGGTTCAATTGCTTTTAGTTTGGTTGGTGGGTACATTGAAATTTTTAGTCCCGAGCAGCACAGTTCGTTGACGTCAACGCTTTATCGGTTCGAGAATGGGGATATTTAGCAACAAATATATTGATTAAACGTGACTCTTGTTTACTACGGGAGACTGTTAAATAACTGACATTGTGCTAATTAGGTTTATGTAGTGAAACAATTATATATTTTTAAGGAACATTATAATTTAAAATTCTAATATTTAGGACACTGTTGAGTGGAACTGATATTTAACAATATAAAATATGAAATAGCTAATATAAATATTTTTGTCTACGGTAGTTTTTAGGTTAGTTATAGAAAAAAGTGCTATGAAGGTAATTGTAGTGATAAATATACAGGGTTAATCATTAATACGTCAATAATTCTTGGGCCAAAATATACAGATTTAACTCTAAACACTTGGAAAACATATAGTTTCTTACTTCTTTATCATACTTAGAGAAAGTTTTGGTACCTCAGGAAACATTAAACTGTCCCTCCCTCTAAATTCTACGCCACTCATGGAGCCATTAGTGTGAGTAAGTAAAATAACTCCCTTGTTATTCATAATATAGAAAAGAAGTTTATATAAAAGTTGTACAGAATCAAAAAACCGAAAGGACAAAATTTGAAACATACAGGGCGATGAGTAAAAACGGGATACGCCAAATATTACATTTTTTAAATTGAACACCCTGTATATTTTTTAACAAATGGATTTCTGAGAAAATTCTATATGTGGCAATATAAACAGTTTAATATTTTAGTCCGGGGTTGCCAAGTTATGTAGAAAATTCTTCGAATTTTGGAAAAAACATGACCTCAAAGAAGTTGTATTAACTTTCAACTACTAATACTTGGAACAAAAATATTTGAGTTATAGGCAATACGATCATTGTAAGAAAGTTCACACTTGATTTTCTGAAATTTTTCAAATGGAACACCCTGTATTTTATTGTTCTATTTTATTCATATACTAGCTTTTACCCGCGGCTTCGCTCGCATTGAAGCCATTAATGGATTTCATGCAACTGAGTAAGAATTAAAATCACGAATTAACCACAAAAATGACACCTAACCTGACACAACAAATATAGAAAATCTTTCGTAAAAAATATTTTTTTTTTTAATAAAAAGTATCCTATGTTACTTCTAATACCCCAAGAATATGTGTACAAAGTTTTTATTAATAGGGATATCAGTCCGCTTTTACTTTTATTAACTAGGTTCACCACATAAAGTTGTTAGTTTTTAAAATTAATTTGATACATACAGGGTAATGAGTAAAAACGGGACACGCCAAATACTAAATTTTTTAAATGGGACACCCTGTATATTTTTAAACATATAGATTTTCGATAATATTCTATATATGGCAACATAAACAGTTTATCATTTTAGTGCGGGGTTGCCAAGTTATGATTCTTCGAATTTTGGAAAAATCATGACCTCGAAGAAGTTGTATTAACTTTCAACTACTAACACTTGAAGCAAACATATTTAGTTATAGGCAAATGTTAGGCAAAGACTCCTATATTAGCTAATATCGATATGTTATACAGGGCATTTTTTATAATACGATCATTTTTAGAAAGTTTAAACTTGATTTTCTAAAATTTTTCAAATGGAACACCATGTATTTTATTATTCTATTTTATTCACATATCGGTCCACTTCAACTTTTATTAAGCATGTTCTATATATAAAATTGTTAGTTTTTAAGTCGCACGAAATGGCTTTGGAAAAAACTGTCACATTGTGTCAACTTGCCAGTTCATAATTTATTATTCCATTTTGAGTTAATTTTATTAGTTAATATTTATTTGTGGTATTCTATAAAATAATAAAAATTATGTTTTTTTCAGAAATGTTGCTATATCTTAAAATCTAACAATTTTAGATATAGAACATGCTTAATAAAAGTTGAAGTGGACCGATATGTGAATAAAATAGAATAATAAAATACATGGTGTTCCATTTGAAAAATTTTAGAAAATCAAGTTTAAACGTTCTAAAAATGATCGTATTATAAAAAATGCCCTGTATAACATATCGATATTAGCTAATATAGGAGTCTTTGCCGAACATTTGCCTATAATTCTGTCAAATACTTTTGCTCCAAGTGTTAGTAGTTGAAAGTTAATACAACTTCTTAGAGGTCATGTTTTTTCCAAAATTCGAAGAATTTTCTACATAACTTGACAACCCCGCACTAAAATGATAAACTGTTTATATTGCCATATATAGAATTTTATCGGAAATCCATATGTTTAAAAATATACATGGTGTGCCATTTAAAAAATTTAGTATTTGGCGTGTCCCGTTTTTACTCATCGCCCTGTACGTATCAAATTAATTTTGTAGTTTAGGTTTCTTGATTCTGTATAACTTTTATATAAACTTTTTTCTGTATTATGAATAACAAGGGAGTTATTTTACTTTCTTACACTAATGGCTCACCCTGTTGTATATTTTAATTTTTGAACATGTTTTATGTAAATAATGTTATCTTGTTCTATTACGACTAATTTTCGGGATAAACGAAGTAAAATTTCAAATACGCGGGCAATATGCAATAACGTTTAAAATTCAAAAAGCTTAGTTCTTGGTACCTACTGGTTTGTGTGCTTATTCTCTTTTTCTAAATTATCGTACTACATATAAAAAATAAGTATATTTAAATAATTTACAAAAAGTTAACTATATAGGGTGTTTCTTAATGATATGCGATTTTGTAAGGGTGTGATTCTACATGGGAAATTAGTGATAATTTGCTTTATAAACCAAAAATGTTCCCTTGCGAAAATACGAGGAGTTAGAATTTTAGGAAAAAGAAGGAAATTAATTAATATTTTAGAAACTGCTTGAGATATTTCAGTGATATTTAGTATATAGTGATAGTTAATAAAGGCGCATGTTTTTCGATTTTAATTTAATTTTAATTATTCTGGAGTATTTTTTATTCTATAACATGCTGCAATTATTATTTCTCTTAATTACTTTGCAGTATTTGAGAAAACATCATTAGCGTACCATTTTTTCTTTAAAAATATTAAAGTCAGTGCTTGTACGCACGCCACTGTTAGAGTTAAAAATTATGTTTGTATTGAAAAACGTACGTCTTTATTAACTATCACTACGCACTAAATATTACTGAAATATCTCAAGCGGTTTCGAAAATATTAATTAATTTCCTTTTTTTTTCCTAAAATTTTAACTCCTCGTATTTTCGCAATGGAACATTTTTGATTTATAAAGCAAATTATAATTTTTTCCATTTAGAATCACACCCTTACATATTCGCATCATTAAGGAACACCCTGTATAGTTAACTTTTTGTAAATTAATTTCATTTTTTCAAAAATTTGAAGGTCGAGTATTTTCGCCACGAGACATTTTTGGACCATAGATCAAACTATCATTAATTTTCTATTAGAAAATCCCTTAAATATTGGCATATCATTAAGGAGTACCCTGTATATCTTATTTCACTTAACCAATGCAATTTTCACGATAGCTTCAATAGATTAAACGTTAAAATAAGAATATTATACAACCCTGTCTTTAACTTCAATTACCTCGAAATAATTACTCAATTATGAAGTAAGGTAGTTTCGTAAAAAATATTTAAACATTAAACAATGATACCAAAATGACTATTCCATCAATGGCGTTGAATTTATAGGGGGAGCAAACTACTTCTTTGTCACTGCTGTGGGACTCTTGAAATGGCGAGAAACGATATTTTATGATAGTTTAATATTTCCTAAGGTGCCGAAACTTTCTGCCTAATAAATAATATCAAAATAATGGGCAAGAAATTTGAAATAAAATACCCTGTCTCTCAGTAAGGAAGCACATTTTATATAAACGTCCAAATCTAAGAAATCTACATATCATTTCCGGAGGATCCGGTGCGCTGAACACGAGTCTGTCTGTAGTCAAAATTTTGTGTAAAAAAGCGTAAATATGAGTCAAACGTCAAACCTTATGTTTTCCTAAAGCTTGTCCAAATATATAATTTTCGTAGTATTTTGAGGCGCTGAACACGATGCCATTAACAACATTTACTCATGAACTCGATATTTCTCAGAAAAAAAATGGGTGAAAATTTCACTTTTCTCCGTAATTCATCGGCAAGTCATGAATTTTTACTACAGGATCGTGTTCAGCGCATCGAATTCCTTTGGAAGTGATATGTGGATTTCTTGGGTCTGGACTTTTTCTTTATGTTCCTGTGTTATTAATAAAATACGACAAATAATAAAATCTGCTGTAATTTGAGTCTAATTATAATTTTTTTTGCAAAAAATCATCAGTAAGGCCTCTTTAAAATCCATAAGTATGTAGGGTCTTCTGGCTTGAAACTAAAGTAAAAACTATCGGATCTGTTTGTATATTGGCCATAATATCTTTGAACACTATTTGAATCAGTAATCGGAAAAACAATTCGAATTCATGATCTCATTGTACCATAACTGTGAATTAGCAGGCTTCCCCAATCTCATCACTTTGCAACCCCATAAGAGGAAATATAACTACGAAACTCTGAGGAATCGAGCTCCTGTACTGGTCGTGTTTCTTCTCTTTGTATCTACAATGAAAGAAATGTAACAGTTCTTAACTGTAGTGATGGTACGAGATTTTGCGATCAAAAATTAAAAAAAAAAGTTTACCGGTATATGGAATTAAAAGGCTATGGGGTTATGTTGCATAATGGGATTGAGAATTCCAATACTTTTTCAATCAGTGACTACTCGTTTTCAAACTTTTTAACGATAGGGCCGAAACGCGAACTATAGGAATTCTGAATTTAGATTCAGATACTATTGATACACTGGTAATGTAACGTTTTTATTTTATTTTTTTGGTCATGCGATAAGGACAATGAATATGGCTCCTAGCCACTGAATTTTTTTCTGGTAGAACAGTGTTTTTCAATATTTCAAAATATATAGGGTGTTCTGAAAG